TAGTCCGCAAGTGATACGTGATTTAGCTATGGTCTTTTATATATATTCCGGATTTTTTATATCCACACTTAAATAATGCCTGTCCTGTTGATAAAAATAAGTCCCAGAAGTGTGTCCTACGCTTCAACAGCTTCTGCGTTTTCTTATTGATCCATAGGGGGCAATGTGATGGCTTACGTGTTGACCACGGGATAAATGGTTGTGTTACAGACTGCAATGTAGCCTTAAACTTATTATATTCGTCTTTGATCGATCCATCTGCATCCACCGACCAGTCGATCGAGATTGCACAGGCTCTGAATGCCGGAATATTAACTCTCCAGATATTGAGACGGGGTGGAGCAGATGAAAATTCTATACCACGCATCTGGAATTTAAAAGAAAGTACAACGTTGCCACTATCCACTGGTGGAGGAAGGTGTTGAATGTCGACGACTTCTTCATAGTGGTGTGTGAGGACAAGGTCTAGCAATGACAGATCGGGTTCCAGGTCAATATTTCTGTTTTGCGATAAATTGTACAAGTACACGTTACTCAATTTACCGGTGATAAGCTTACAGATTCGTAAGCTAATATTTGCTAATTCTTCAGTTTACAACATTAGGCATGTATTTGAGTTTGCATAGTGCTCCAGCAACCGCGGTACCACTAGTCTAGACATTAACCGTTATAATACGTTTCTAGATATTTCGTGTGGCCCAATCAGTATAATCTAATCACTTATTTGTGCTTATCCTGGTGAATCCAACAGCTAATTAATGTTATAACGTATAGATTTCTGGCCTCTTAATATATATGTATATGTCCAATGATACAGAAAATACGTACGAGCAGTCTTGGGTGCTATTCGGTCCTTCCTATCTGCCTAGTCCGGCCCGTTAAGTCCAAAACACAAATAACAGCTTCAGCAATATGAATCATTATTTACAAGCATACTGGGTTATATATACTAACCAAACAGACCACATATACCAAAAAATAGATAAATAACATTTGTACAATAATTGGCCAATGTGGCTATGGATAGGGGGAAAGTAATCAATAACAATAGTTCCAAGGTCAAAACAAAGGTTATGGTAAGAGGAACACGAATACAATTAGGTCAGTTATTTAACAACTATACAATAGGAATTAGGCATATTACCTTTGTCCATAAATATACCTCAGATTTACCATTCATGACTCACCAGGGGATGTAACAATTAAGTATTCAATACCTTTGTCATGAGTTTATATAATTCGATTGACTTCTTTGTGTATGCTTATTGTCGTTTCGGCACCAGGCACAAAGGTTATCATTTACGTCCCCTTGGTTTCTAACTTTAACAGCTGTCTACCACAAATATAATGGTCGTGACGTATGAAAGATAGAGTAGGCTGAACACGTTAATGGTCGCAGTAGTGTGAGGACCTATGCTATAGCTATATGGTAGCCAATGCAAATATTGTAAATCGTGTTTCCGAAGTCCATCCCGACTACCACGTACTAGTTCAGGCACTCAGTGAACCACTGTGTTTATTGGTTCCTGTGTGTTCACTGATCTTCTAATAAAATTTCTTATGACTCACGGATTGTCGTGTCTAGCTTGAATTTTAGAGGAACATCTAGTTGACAGTCTCTCAGATATCAGTAAAATTTCTTCTGTAACATGTGTTCAAACTAAAGCTACTCTCAACAGAGAGGGAGCAATCTTTTGCTATATTTTGTCCCCTATGAAGACAACATAGGGATAATTTTACCTCAATTCCACAGAATTTGTCCGCCAGTTCTGTATCAAAAATTACACTACTTCCTAATAAACTACTTTCCGAAATTGGAACATCAAATAAAATCAGTGAGTTTTGTCTTTATTATTTGTCCCCCAATTTTTGAGTTTTTGGAGCCACCCTTTGGCCACTTACCAACCCTCATCCATTGCTATATACTGTTATCAGATAATGAGGTACCGACAACAGACTTCAGTTACATTGTCATATTGTGGTGTGAGTTACTTATATCCACATAAGTAGTATATGGTGATGGTCAGGAATAGAGTGTATTGCAGTAGAAGATTGATAGAGACAGGGTCAAAGAAAAAGGATAGGCGGAAATATGAAATAAACAATCAGTTACAATTGTCTACAAAACAAATAGGGGAGAATAAAAGCAATCAGTTCACAAAACAACCAAAGTATAACAATTCAACATAGCCATAGCCATAAAGCAGTGTTAAACAAAACACAGACAAATCAGCTGTCCAAAGACTTAGTGACGTCAAGGAATTAGCTACGATTTAGAATTCCCGAACAATATAGCAGATACAGTTGCAATTAAACCCAAAAGAGGGATAAACCAGTGAAAAGTCAAGCCAATATGGGAGCAGTAATCACGATACCAGGACAAAAAAGTAATAACCTGAGAGACGTTATTTCATGTTTGCATGGGAACTTCCTACTATTGATTTCAAAAAGACTGCCGAATGGTAGTTAGACTGTATGAAAAATGGATTGCTCACTGAATAAAGTGAAGAAGGGGAGGAGGTGGGAAACAACGGGACAATAAAAGCAGATCAGAAGGTGAACGAGAAAACTTCTAACAAATTTACCGGGGGGTTGTTCTGTCCAGGATGTTTCCAAAGGCGAGCCATAAAATCACTTTGGGTACTCAGATTCTAATCCTATGAAGAAAATATTAAATTATTAATTGCATTTTAGGTAATTCAATGATAATCTTTTGATGACTTTTCATTGAAAATCCCAGGTGCTCTCCAAAATATTTGCCTAAGTTCAATCCAAACAAAAAAATTTAGGAACGTTATCCGAAAGATAGTGGTTCATAATAACAATCAGAAGTGACGACGCATTCTGCACCTTAGTTGTGCTCTAGATTTGTTATTTGTTACCAACTGAGTTGGTCTTTCAAGAGGAAATCTGCTATATTCTTAAGAACTCAGGTCAATGTATAATTGTGATTTTACAATCTCTCTGTATTGCTTGTTTCACCAATATAAGTCCCTCCTTTCTGTCGACAATTCACTCCTACTGGACGCTAAAGCTTATTACGTAAAAGGTTCTCGTATTCCGTGGACAAAGATTTTGGCCGTTTGACGTTCACCTGAAAAAAAAGTGAGTTTATAAACACGTAGTACTGTGAACGACAAATCTTAACTAAAGGTATACACTAAAATGTAAAAAAGATGTCAAACATTATTTAATGATTAGGTTTTTCGTAAGCATTTGAACATGCTTGAAGAAGCCAAGTTACACAATTCTAAATGCACAGTATCTTCCATAGATTTTAAAATTCATAGTGCTTGCACCACTGACGTCAATCCAATATATTCGACTACACTATCCAACGTCAATGTTTATTGTATTGTAGGAGGTAAGTTCTATTCTATTTAACGAATCACATACCAAAAAGCGTGTAAAGCACGGATGATTATTAGCCATCATGAAATACAGTATTGCATACCCACCAATTCGTGAAGCAACCCGAAGCATTGACTGACAACCAAGATACTTAGACTTTCTTGGCTAAATATGAGCAAACATCACAAGGGTTTTCAGGCAAGGCCGATTTCTTTTAACCTCAAACGTACACTTAAAACCAACAAAGAAATGCATCCAATGTTCAGCATAATTTGCTTCAATCCTCAGATCAACGTAATAAGTACACATTATCTGCACATAAGACAATTATGCGCCACTCGTTAAAATTCGTTGAAGTCATTTAGAGTTCTTCCCAACTGCAGAAGCTTTGACAAAGCAACCGCATTCGAGGAAAAACGGATATGCTGACAGAAATCTTATTCAAACTAGTCAATCTACTGCCATTATCAACCAACCAAGTCAACAAAAAAGAAAACAGAGTCGAATACGGAAAATAAAGGAAAAACGCGACATAATGCCTGCCTTGTTGCCTGAGAAAGGAAAATAGCAAGAAATTTTCTATAAACGTTTTCACAGAGTAGCGGTGTCTCTGTATTTAAGCCGAATAGTCTAATTTTGCCTAAATTCACGATAAATGCATAGATAGAAAACAACAATCCACAATCCGGAAATTTTATTTATCTGAATAAAGACAGATATGATAATTGAAGTGATCTGTATAAAAAGTGTGTCGTCGAAATTTTCATCACTCACAATGCATTTATGCTAAAAATGCAAGACAGTCTACCAACTCTTGATCCATCGTGCTACTCCAGTACAGAATGACCGCCAGCCTTATTGGCTTTTCAAGGTTGTACCGGCAAAAAGAGGTAATTTTGACCGTAGAGTGGCTTCTATTTTGTGACATCTTTTAAATGAGAGACGATCTGTAAGACATTCTGTTACTATGGTTTTTATGTGGAAGCTTATGTTACGTGGTTTCCTGAAACCAACTAAGACCATGTAGCCTGGATTCGCTGATTTGTAATGTAATTTGTGATAATCTTTGTCTTGGAAGTTAAACCATCACATACGTAAAAATATATTATAAGCACTTATTTATTTCTGTATTCAAACCGTCATTATCATGATTTGGCATATTGCATATTTCTGGGAAACTCAGATCTGAGTGGATTCTTGATTTTTTCGCACTCGCGACTTAACGTAGTTGGAGGTTCTTGGAATAACGCATGTCATACGATTATGAAATCAGATGCAACAAGTTTCCTTTAATGTTTTTTGCGAACGTACTTTCTCATAGTTTGAGTGGCATCAATTATCCGTTCTGTGAATTCATAGTTTAAGATGATACGGTCAATGTTCTAAGCACAGATATTTAGGATCATAGGACCAAACGAGAGGTGATATTTGCGGCTTACACTTCATGATCATTGACGTCGAGCTTAAAAAGTATCAATCCTAACTCTCCATTTTACCGTTAGTGATACTTGGTTGCCTGTAACTAAATATTTACTGTGTGACTAACTCGAAATCCAATAGCCGTAAGGTTCTGTTCTTTAAGTTACATCTCCATACTTTACTGGTTTCCCATTATTTAAGGACTAAAGGTATTTACTACTGCCTTAATAGTAATACCTAAATATGTTTGTGTTGCTTGTTGTCCACAGGATAATACATCAGAATGACGAATTCGACGAGCTTGTTTATTGAAACGAATACTGACTGTAATGCTATAGGATCAGCGACATGGGATTTTGCTGGACATCATGTAGTTTTTTCTATATACGGCCCAGATGAAGCTAAGATCAATGATGAACTCACTCATCGTGCTTATGTTGATGTAACAGTTACACCCCGTACAGGACAACGAACATCAAAGGAATCAGAGCTCGAAATTTACCTTAATCATCTTATGGAACGTCTAATTGATGTGAAGGAGTTCCCACGATCTAAGGTTAGTGCTATGAGTGTGACAGTTTCCGAGTTGAAAATATTCTGTTTAATTAAGGTTTTGTGCTACATAATACGGAACTTTCTCAAAGTTAACAACACTTTTACTGAACTAATTTCATTGATTCTAACTAGATTAGTATCATTATATATATATATATATATATATATATATATATATATAATTTATTTAAACATAAATATTGGTACAAGGAAGCACCAGATACATATGCGCATTACAAATCTCATTCGATTTGCCTGAGGGCTGTGATACTGCCCAGGTGCCCGAACTAAAGCAGGTGGTTTTCTTAGGGGCCCACACCCGGAGCCTTTGACTTAAAGATCTTATCCACAAGGCAGTGGAGCATCGTGAGGAGATGCAGTCCCATGGAAGCCGGTGGTCAACGATTGATTCGTACGCCATTTGTTTCCTCAGGATACTGGAGTCCATGTGCACCATTGGTTTGGAATGAGGGTTTTCCAACTCTCCTAGATGGACTCGCCGTGTCCACCAACTTGGTTAAAGCACCGAACATTCGCTTTTCGTCCTCTCACTTTGGTAAACAACACCCCGCCACAAGAAGGCAGTGAGTAGGACTTCCCTGACAGAGGCTATATATTCACTTTACATGTGAGAGCATTTGGAGAGGGAGAGTGGACTCTCCCCACTCTCGGCCGTACCAGAGCATTTGGGGCATATATATATATATATATATATATATATATATATATATGACTGACCTTTTTAATGTTTGGGGAAACTAGGTTAGCATTCCTTGTACATCTTAAGGCGCATTTGTAGTAAATGTTACTCAATGAGGTCACCACTTTAAAAAGTGTAACTTTAAGTTTGTTTACCTTTGTTGTTTTTACATATTTTAAGTTAAATTGCCATAATATGAAGTTATTTTTCATCCTAGTATTTTTGTTTTTTAAATATAAAATGTAACTTTATGGGGAAAGGACACCTTGTTATGAGATTTTTATTTACAGTTTATTGGTACGATCTTATGAAAATTCCGAAACTTTAGTCATTCTTTTATTGGCTAAGTTGAAGTTCTCATTTTATATTCAGCGTGCACCCCAACATTGATTTCGTCAATTAACTGACTACTAGCACTTCATGATAAAGTAATAATTTGCTTATCTCATATAACCAAAGTAGGATTTGTCAAATTAATACTGTCAAAAATATTGTAAATGAATTGCTATTTCATTCCCATAGCTTCCCATAAGCCTAAACTAATCGGGACTATTTATAAGTAAAACCTAATAAGCGGAACAAGCAGCATGAGTTTCTTGTCAAACAAGATAAATATGAATAGTGTCTAATCCTAACCCAATTTCCTTTTCAGGTACCTCTAGAAAAATCCTTCCACGGTGTGGGCAACCGGGAAGTGATAACTGCCCTCATACCTCTAACAGCACTCAAGACCACTGTATTCATAATCAATCTTCTTCAATTCCTACTATTCCCTCTACCTTGACTTTCAACACTAAACTTCCTCTCTCGGTTTCCTCCTCAAGCGTCACCATGGCCAACGATTCTAGTGCGCGAAACGCTGTCCCAGGTCTACTTAAACCTCGCTCCAAACTACACATTGGAGCCTTCAACGTACGTACCCTATGCCAAATCGGTCAACAGGCCTCCTTAGCTAAAACCCTAGAATCTCGTACCATTGATGTATGCTGTGTCTCCGAAACACGCATACAGGATCCCAGTGTGGTCATTCACTTGACCTCACCTCGCCAAAATGGACAGCCAACGAAATACACCCTCCGTGTATCTGGCGACCCGTTGGCTAGTTCTCGCGGACTTGCAGGTGTAGGCATAGCACTAAGTACAAGGGCAGAACAGGCACTACTAGAATAGATCCCCGTTAACAGTCGCCTGTGTGCTGTCCGGCTAAATGGCTCCATAAGAACTCGGAAGGATAGGGACACACGTCGTTGCCTTTTCGTCGTTTTTGCCTACGCTCCCACTGACTGCAGCCATGATGAAGTAAAAGATGACTTTTACAGAAAACTCTCTGAGCTTCTTCAGAAAGCTAAGCGCTCAGACATAGTAGTCGTAGCGGGTGACTTTAATGCCCAGGTAGGCAGCTTAAATCAAACAGAAAGACATTTAGGTGGGTGTTTTAGTATTCCGGCTCAACGAACCGATAATGGTGATCGTCTGTTGCAACTATGCTCAGACAATCGTTTATTTTTAGCAAGCACTAATTTTAAACATAAGGAGAGACATCGTCTAACATGGCGACCACCTGCACCAAACCAACGATGGACTCAAATAGACCATATTGTCATCAGTCATCGTTGGAGAGGCTCAATAGAAGATTGTCGCTCGTATTGGAATACTTGTTTAGACTCTGATCACGCTTTAATACGAGCACGCATTTGTCTGCGCCTCAATGGACGCAGGAAAAGTACACTAAGAAGACCCATTAGGATTGAACTGGAAGATGAGAAAGCCAAATGCGAATTCCAGAAACAACTGAGTTCACATCTAGGCAGTTCTGTAAACGAGACTGACCCAGATGCTGCTTGGAAAGACACACGAACAGCTGTGGAAACGGCAGTAACATCTATTAGTCATTTAAACCATAGGGCTCCAAAAAACCAGTGGATTTCCTCTAAGTCTATTTCACTGATGGATTCGCGTAAACTCATCCCATCAGGCTCTGAACATGACGAAGAGCATAAACTAATTAGATCTAGGTTAACTAAAAGCCTAAGGAACGATCGTGAGCAGTGGTGGGCAACGAAAGCAAAAGAGATGGAAAAGGCAGCGGCTGTAGGCAACACCAGGCAACTATTCAGACTAATAAAAGAAACCGGAATTAAGAAGTCAAGTGTAAGTGAGACAATCTCGGAAAAAGACGGAACCCTTATCTGCTCTCAACCTAAACGTTTAGAACGATGGGCGGAACACTTTAAGGAGCAGTTTAGCTGGCCTTCAGCTACTGCACAACTACCCACTATTCCCAGAAAACCTGAATGGAACATTGAAGTAGGCCCCCCGACCCTACTTGAAGTTCAAAAGGCTATAGGTAATCTGAAACGGGGAAGAGCAGCTGGTCCTGATGGATTGGTTCCAGAGGTTTTTAAATACGGTGGTCCAATTTTAGCGATTAGGTTGACTAATATTCTGGCTAAAATCTGGGAGACGGATGTAATCCCATCCGACTGGTCACAATCACTGATTGTCCCAATATATAAAAAGGGGTCAAAATCATCCTGCGATAACCATAGAGGGATTAGTCTGACTAACATAGCATCTAAAATACTAGCCTCAATAATTATCGGGCGCCTAACTAAGACTCGTGAACTGCAAACACGAGAAAATCAGGCTGGCTTCAGACCTGGTCGTGGCTGTATCGACCACATATTCACCATTCGTCAAGTTTTAGAGCACAGACACGCTTATCGGCGTCCGACAATGATAGTTTTTCTTGACTTGAAAGCAGCATTTGACTCTGTAGACCGAGAGGTTCTGTGGCAGTGTCTGTCATTGAAAGGTGTACCTGAGAAGTACACAAACCTTTTGAAGGCTCTTTACTCGAACACTATTAGTCGAGTGAGAGCTTATGGCGAACTGTCATATGATTTTACAACCTCAAGTGGTGTCCGTCAAGGCTGTCCACTATCCCCATTTTTGTTTAACTTCATTATAGACCTGTTGCTGGAAATAACACTCTCATCGACTGAATTTTCAGGAATTGATCTCCTACCAGGGGGACCACTAAGCGACTTAGAATACGCAGATGACATAGTCCTGTTTGGTGAAGACGCTGGCAAAATGCAGAGTCTTCTGTTGGAACTCAGTAATAATGCCAGGATGTTTGGGATGCGATTCTCCCCATCCAAATGTAAATTGTTACTTCAGGACTGGCCTGCGTCAACTCTCGAACTAAGGATAGGAAGTGAAGTAGTCGAACGCGTCGACAACTTCACTTATCTTGGAAGTCTGATCAGCCCTAATGGGTTGGTGTCAGACGAAATCTCAGCACGGATTCAAAAAGCTCGTTTGGCTTTTGCCAACTTACGTTACCTATGGCGTAGACGAGATATCCGTCTATCAATTAAGGGACGAGTATACTGCGCAGCAGTTCGCTCTGTCCTACTTTACGGCTGTGAAACATGGCTATTAAGAGTAGAAGATACTCGTAGGTTACTAGTATTTGACCACAGATGCCTTAGAAATATTGCTCGCATCTGCTGGGATAACCGGGTAAGTAATAGTCAGGTTAGACGCAGGGTATTAGGGAACGATGGTAAATCAGTTGATGAGGTGATAAATCTTCATCGACTGAGATGGTTGGGCCATGTGTTACGTATGCCTGAACACCGATTACCACGACGCGCTATGATGACTAGTATTGGGGACGGTTGGAAGAGAGTTAGGGGCAACCAAACCAAAACATGGCATCAGTGTTTGAAGTCACTAACTTCTAGTCTGAGCCATGTTGGCAGATGCAGACTACCTGGTTGGGGTCCGCGTGACTATCGTAACCAATGGTTGGAGACTCTGTGTGACATGGCTCAGAATCGGTCACAATGGCGTAGGTGTATGCACTCTTTATCTTCCCTTAAACCTTGAGACTAAAATTGCTTCATATCTGTCTTCCTTCCTATACTATATCCTTATATCCAACCTATAATTTATATACTACTACCAACACTAGATTAACTACTATGAATCCGGTGTTCCTCTTGTTGTGCTAACGAGGTATGGCAACTTGGACCGATGCATAAATGTGCCTGGTCCTACGTTGTAGCTGACCTGAATTCAGATAAAAATGAACAAAACTAAGTATAACAATAAAGTGGATACAGCATGAGAACCAGTTAATTTTCTTGATGTATTTATCAGGACAAAGAATCGTTCGATCAAGAATTGTCTTCAGTATGAGTTTGTAGAGATTGTCGAGTTCCAGTTGAAATTATCAACCGATCTGTGTTACACCACCACTAAAAACCTGGAGGTGCTGGGTCGTTTACCAAAAAATATATGGTCTAGGTAGCAATTAATTCACAGGACCCCTTGTTCTTTAAGTTATAAGTGTAAAAATCTATGGCCAAATAAAATGTTGGTTTCCCAGACAGTTCTCATATATAGACGAGCATTAGAGTTCCTCAACGAATGTTTAAAATCTTGTGATGAGAACACCAACGTCATTATGGCTAAGAAGAAACTAATAATTATTTATTTAGCCTTTAGAGCAGATTACTCCCATATCAAAGGTAGTAAAAAGATTTAGTCACATTTTTTTACAACCTATACGATTACCAAGCCTATCTCACTTTACATTAATATCCATCTCATATATGTTCATCTATCTCATCTCACCTTCTATCATATTTACACATATGTTAGTGATACTAAGTACGTTGAGAAAAGAAAACATGGCCTTCCACTCGTTGCTATGGTAGCAATGTAATTGAGAGATTCCAATTCATAGTGCTATTGGATATCACTTAATGTTTTAAATTTATTTAAACATAAATATTGGTACAAATGGGCACCAAAATATATACGCACTACACTAAGAAAATGCGATCGTGAATAGTCAAAGAAAGAAAGGTGATTATAACGTAAAAAGTTTAATAAACAAATAAAAACAAGTAAAAAAAGAGTATAAGAATGGTGGAAGTGATCCAGTTAATAAAAATGCAACCAGAAACGATCTTTTTGGCTTAAGAAGTTCCTCTCATCTATATGAAGAAAATAAAATAAAATAATAACAGGACCACCACTGTCATGTCTAATAATGCTTCAAGCCATTGTCACTTAATTGGCTCCGGTTGCAACTAGATGTCACCACCGATTGTACAGCAGTGAGTCAAAACAGCAATACACTTTTTTTTAATGGACCTGTCTCTCTCGAGAACGATAGATTCTAATTACTAGGTTGTTAATCTAATCTGCAACCAGATGGCAACATTAGTGCTTACATAAAGTGTAGCTCAAACACAGGTCCATGGACATGATATAAGTTACTGCATTACAAATAAGACTAATAACTACTATCAAAAGACTAGATCCTAATCTTTGAATGCAAGACTAGGGCGATTAACCCAGCGTAACCCTGGTAATTACAGTTCCGACCCAATTTCGTTACCTGGTTTCATGTTTTCTTAATCATCTACTTCATTTATATTAGGCTGTAAATCACTTATTAATCTCTAAGAAATTGTTTATTTCTACTTGACACATTTTAAAAGCTGAAAATCCTTTTTCCCAAGTATCTATAAATTAAATTTCAACTTTTTATTCCTATAACTTATACTAAACATTGTCTATCTCATGTCAGTTTATGTAAAGAAGCAGTCAGGTATAATGCTTTTAAGGGGCATTTGTTCGATTTACAATGATATCTAATTTCTTTAAATTACCAGGTATGCAAAGCTTATTGGTTACTCAGTCAGCTACAATGTAGGACCAGGCACATATATGCATCGGTCCAAGTTGCCATACCTCGTTAGCACAACAAGATCAACACCGGATTCATAGAAGTAGTTAATTTAGTGGTAGTAATATATAAAAGATAGGTTGGATATAAGGATATAGTACAGGAAGGAAGACAGATATGAAGCAATTTTAGTCTCAAGGTTTAAGGGAAGATAAAGAGTGCATACACCTACGCCATTGTGACCGATTCTGAGCCATGTCACACAGAGTCTCCAACCATTGGTTACGATAGTCACGAGGACCCTAACCAATTATGCTGCATCTACCAACATGGCTCAGACTAGAAGTTAGTGACTTCAAACACTGATGCCATGTTTTGGTTTGGCCGCCCCTAACTCTTTTCCAACCATCCCCTACACTGGTCAACATTGCGCGTCGTGGTAATCGTGTTCAGGCATACGTAACACGTAGCCCAACCATCTCAGTCGGTGAAGATTCATGACCTCATAGTTAGACGTGCACAACTGATGAATCCTTTCCATATATACTGTTGTAAATCAATATTTCTCCTCAGATAGTAATATAGTAGTAGTATTCAGTCCATAAAACTATTTTATGTCATGACCTTTCACTCATTCCCTTTTTTCCCACTACAATGTACTTTTCCAGTTTTTTCCCTTAAAAGTAGGTTGAGTTTTCTTATTGGTCATTTCTTTTGTTGTTTAGTTTACTGGACGCTTATTTATTGTCACTGGTGGCACTAATCATCCTAGAACAGTGGCTGCAGCCATAAATGCAATTTCACTAGCTCTTCTTTTATCTGGCTTACCATTACGAGCAACAATTGCATCAGTATGTCATACAATCCAAAATGCTTGTAAGTCATTTATTCTTAATCACTTCATATTGCCAAAGATAAGCGAAATAAGTTATATTCTATGCACTATAAATGGTATTGATACTTTGCTTTTGATCATATACTCACAGTCATTCCAATTTTTAGGGATTATAGTTACCTGATTACTGGTGCGCTGGCACATGAGGAAGTCAAATATGTTTCATATACTCTGTTCGTTATTGAATATATTGTTGGAGTCTTGATATCTCTACAAATGTCAGTCTGATAAAACTACACTTCAATGCTCGATTTTAAGTCATAAGTTGATTGTAATTATCCACTTAGCCCCAAAACAATCCACAATACGAAGTCATTGACGATGTGCGAAGAACGTGTCCAAGTCCCTAAATCTGATGCTTCAAAATGTCATCACTTACCAAATAATGTTCTTCGTCATGAATAACCACTCTTTACAGGATCTCAGTACTGCATGAACTACATTGCTGTTGAGTACGAGAGATACTCTGATAAGAATAGTGATTGAATACTGAAATTCATCGAACATCTTCAGATAAGCTAGCGTTTACAAGCGTAGAGTAAAACTCATACTGTGGGATTCCTCACTCAAGATTACCACCATAACCACGTCACTGGTGTCTTATATTGCCACAAGAGGTGTTCACTTTCCCTATAAATGTACTCCACACTTATACTGTAGTGAACAAGAACATTAGTGGGGACAATCGAATGTATTTCACCACGAAATTATAGACTATCTCACTAAAATCTCATAACCATACAAGTAAATAGTTAATTTACAAACTATCAATCAATTGCCTCAGACATGACTGTTCCTTCTGCAAATATCAATCCACCGTCTCCAATCATTATTGTTCATGCATTTTCATACCAACTGCGTTTCGTTTCCGTTCTTTTCTTATCGATCTTCTACTGCAATACTTTCTATGGCTGACCATCGTTATATGCTAATTATGTGGATATAAGTAACCCACACCACAATACCAATCAAATAGTATATCTTTAGTCTTTACGCTTAAATCATGTAAGACTGAAAATTTCTGTATCCTTAGTTAGTGAATTCCATTATTTCATTTTGTTTATATCTACTCATTTATTAACACCTTAAACGAACAAATGGAAAATATTCTATGCGTTTAAATAGTGATATTATCTTCAGTTCATTGTGCTAATTATTTCAGATTTTATATTGTTTTCTTTCTCTGTTTCACCTTGTACACACGCGAACTATTCAACTTTTTAAATTGCTTATTAGGTCTTGTGCTTATCTTCCCCCCCCCAACTTTTCCACCGCCTAAATAACTCTCTTAAATTTATTATATGTAATGCCCTGGTAAGGTCGAGGGTTGAGATAGTTCACTCTCCCCGCTCGACATGCTCTCACATGGCTACACGTATACAGCCACTACCAGGGAAGCCCTACTCATCGCGTTCCTGTGGCACGGGTATTGTTTAAGGAATCGAGGTAACGACAAGAAAATGTCCGGCACTTTAACCAGGACTATGGATACGGAGGTTTCACCTAAACGAGTTGGAAAACACTCATTCCAAACTAATGGTCACATGGGTTCCAGGATTCTAAGGAAACAAATGACCAATAAACCTATGGTTGGTCACCGGCGACCATGGGACTGCATCTCCTAACGTTGCTTCACTACCTTGTGGATTAGACCTGTAGGTCAAAGGCTCGGAAGTGGCCTTCTAAGAAAACCACCTGTTTCGGTTTCGGCACCCTAGTAGCATTCCAGCCCTCATACAAATCTAATGGTGAAGTGTGGCGAGTATATATTTGATGCCTCTTTGTTTAAATAAATAAAACTACATATATACGTCCCTAAATTAAATTCGGAGTTTATTGTAAATCCATTATTCGCTTTCAAAAGAATTCCATATGAGTTTATACACAAGGACTTGCAGTCACCTAACCACAGTTTTCTGTATCTCTTTTGAAAAAAAAATGCATCTACTAATAAATCATATCTCTCTTTTATACATTCCACAGTAATCACATTTGCAGTGGATGTGACTCATCCAAAGCTTTACACTAAAAAGCATAGTTCCAATGAGCCCAGCATTTTTGCTATATACACTGGTCAAACATATTCTGAAATTGACAAAATTAGCGGATCTTCTCTACATATCCCAATCCAAAACTTTCTTGATATCATCAAATTACCAAAATCACATGACGAAGATATAAACACTACAGAGCATACCAAAAATGAGAGTATTTATGAACAAGCATTAAATTTACTTGATGCAATGGTATCACAGATTGTTTCTAATGTACATATATAGTAAATATCATTTTATGGATTAACTGTACTGTTTGTTTGTAAATATGATTTCTATTGTAACTAATATTTCTTTCTTTTTTTCACCGACTAATGCATGATGTCAGCGTTGTGGATATAAGATGCTATTGCCATAAGGATGGCAACTCGAACTGATGTATGTACGTACGAAGTTCTACGTTGTGACTGACTGATTGCCATAAGTGTTTTAAAGTGATTGTTAAGGGAATCCAATTTATTTAAAAGATAAGATTAGTTGCTTTATTATGTAAGATAGTTCTGTTATAACCTGTGCCTGAGTGCACTGTTTAATATATGACGTGACGATGCCGCCAATCAGAGAACAGCGACTTATTGATCGGACCAATGATACATGAAAACCGTATGAGCAGTTTCAAGTACTTATCGGTCTTACTTTCTACCTAGCCCAGCCAGTTAAATCCAGAACATCAATAACAGCATCTGCGGCTACCATGGGACAGCATCTCCTTACGATGCTCCACTGCCTTGTGGATCAGATCTACATGTGAAAGACTTGGGGTATGGCCCCCTAAGAAAACCATCTACTTCAGTTTGGGCACCCGGGGAGTATCACAGCCCTTACACAAATCAAATGAGATTTGTGTTACGTATATGTATCTGGTGACCCTTTGCACCAATATTTATATGTTTAAATAAATGAATAAATATAACCAATTCACAAGTGAATTGTTACATGGATTCGTCAGCCTAGTGGATAATGCGTTGGCCGTTTAAAACAAAAAGTGTAAACACCAATACTAGTATGTAGGCAGATCCAGCTAACGAGTACTAAACAGGACGAAACGTGCGTCCTGAATTCCATTATTAACCACAACACTTATCTTAAACAGATACACTGTTGTAAATTTGTTCCATCTCTTAGTGACTGGAACCAACATTTACCATATCTTATACTCAGGATGCATAGTAAATGTACTTAATCGAATTTATCGTTTAGAAAAAGACAAATCATATAACCTAGTCAATTCTTTATAATTATACTGTAATACCATAATCATTTGTTAACAATCATATAATAAACAAAGTTAATTATTATGAAGAAATAATTAAAACTATTCTATATCCGGATTACTTTGACCTGAGAGCACTGAAGCTGCATATTGAGCATGAATTCGATATGGGACGGTAACATTAGCAACAAATGGTTGTTTTCGCATTGTATCTAAAAATTCGGTCAACTTTGAGAATTCTTTACGTAATTCATCATTAACACCCAGTTCATTGATTTCTTCTGGTTTTTTACCGGTTATCCGACCCATAACTACTTCGAATCGATGTAAGTGTGGGAATAAGATCAAATCGGCTAAACTCACATCAGGACCTAAAAAAGGAAAATTAAGGAGAATAGTATTTGGGAGAAAAACTAGTTAGATTGGAAGACTAATGAAAATCTCTATGACAAACCAAAAATTCTCGGAAATTGACCACATTATACCCTACAAACGATAGTTTATACTGTGATGTAAATACTATGACGAAACACGGTTAAAATTGTGATATTCCCACCGCCTAACCAAACAGAGACGGTGATTACCAATGTTTGTATAGGCTACAAACATGTAACGAATAAGAGGAGAATCTGAAAACTTATTTACGAGTATAGGAACGATGGTTTTCGAAAATAACACCTGCGTATAGCGTGATATCATCGTAATATCTAAACAAATATATTGACGCCAGCACTCCTAATACACTAGTTATTGGCCTTATAAACAGGTCAACGAAGTGCCATTCGATAAGTGTTAGATAAATCCGACAGAAAACACCTGAATCCGTGAAATAAAAACTATAAGATAATTTCAAAGCTCAAGATCTAAGGCAAAAAGAAGAGTGAATTCATCTGCACAATTGTAACAGATCCTGAAACATTTCATTCAAAATCTCCAACCATTGGTTGTGATAATCGCGTCGACCACAACTAGACAGTCTGCACCCACCAACACATCTCACTGGAACAGTAAGGGACTTCATGGAATGATACAGTGTCTTGGTTCAGGTGTGTCTAGATTTCTCCCAATCTTCTCCTACACTAGCAACCACTGCTTATTGAGTGTGATTGTGGTTGGAGATATGTAGTACATATCCCGACCGTCTCAGTAGATGAAGATTTACCATCCCTTTAGTAGACTAACAAACTTTACTTAGTATCGTGCATCTGATTTCAGCTTTATCCACTCGATGAACCTAATATGAACGAGTAATGATTTGAAGGCACAAATGATCAAATAAACATGGACATGAAAACCAACTACTTATCATTATTTCACGATAGAATCGGATTCGCTAAAAATGTAAAGCATAAGCTCAGATCAAGTTAGTATCTGTTGGATGGAACGATAAAAGTATAAACAACCGTAGGCATTTAGTGAAGTGAATTTTACAAATTTAAATAGTTCAAATTATCAGATGATATAAGAAAAACACTTCACTTTTCCAGGATTCTTCGCAGGGGTATACTTCCGAACACATGCAGAGTACATCTTATACCATTTAGTTATTAAATTACATGAAACTAATAACAATTAGTTTTCAATAATATTCTCTTTAAGATCAGTTTTATTTGAGAGTATAATATGATTGAAGATTGATATAGATTGAGACAAAACTTCGCTTCATTTTATTAAATGGTTATTATTAAAACAAATGAAAATCAGCAAAACTTCACCGAGTATCGAATACAAGACTTTTAAATCTAGAAGGTGCTACTTATGTTAGACAAGTATACCATTAGATCTCAGATGGACAGATTAGATGCTTGTTGTGAGACCTGAATTTGTTAGGTTCGATTCCTATTGAATTCATGGATATGCATCGTTGAGAAGTTCCATACCAGATCACAACAACTGTCCAGTGTTTCACGGTTTCAGTGATTCTAATAAAAGTTAATTCATGAAGTAAACTATACAATTTAATAAGTCTTCAACAGCCTTCCTATAGCTTATGATATTTGATAAGAATTTTGGGTGAATATGGGACAGATTTGTAAGCAGAGATGGATAGTGGCTAGCAGTGGAATCCAGGACGCGCGTTTCGTCCTATTTGGGACTCGTCAGCTGGATGTACCTGCATCTCAGAGTTGATGTTCACTCTGGGACTCGAACCCAGTACCCTCGCTTCAAACGCCATCGCGTTATCCACTCGGCCACTGAGTCCTGATAGCCACTTGCTTGTGCGATGGGGTGAAGTTTGAATTCACTTAGTATTGTTTGTTTGGATCTTCCCATCGATGTGTTTAGGACTGCAACTGGTCAGTCTCTAATTGGCATATGTGCATACTGTGCGTATTGCCTCGATATACCTTAATTCACAAGCATGGTAAGCAGAGATGGATAGTGGCTAGCAGTGGAATCCAGGACGCGCGTTTCGTCCTATTTGGGACTCGTCAGCTGGATGTACCTGCATCTCAGAGTTGATGTTCACTCTGGGACTCGAACCCAGTACCCTCGCTTCAAACGCCATCGCGTTATCCACTCGGCCACTGAGTCCTGATAGCCACTTGCTTGTGCGATGGGGTGAAGTTTGAATTCACTTAGTATTGTTTGTTTGGATCTTCCCATCGATGTGTTTAGGACTGCAACTGGTCAGTCTCTAATTGGCATATGTGCATACTGTGCGTATTGCCTCGATATACCTTAATTCACAAGCATGGTAAGCAGAGATGGATAGTGGCTAGCAGTGGAATCCAGGACGCGCGTTTCGTCCTATTTGGGACTCGTCAGCTGGATGTACCTGCATCTCAGAGTTGATGTTCACTCTGGGACTCGAACCCAGTACCCTCGCTTCAAACGCCATCGCGTTATCCACTCGGCCACTGAGTCCTGATAGCCACTTGCTTGTGCGATGGGTTGAAGTTTGAATTCACTTAGTATTGTTTGTTTGGATCTTCCCATCGATGTGTTTAGGACTGCAACTGGTCAGTCTCTAATTGGCATATGTGCATACTGTGCGTATTGCCTCGATATACCTTAATTCACAAGCATGGTAAGCAGAGATGGATAGTGGCTAGCAGTGGAATCCAGGACGCGCGTTTCGTCCTATTTGGGACTCGTCAGCTGGATGTACCTGCATCTCAGAGTTGATGTTCACTCTGGGACTCGAACCCAGTACCCTCGCTTCAAACGCCATCGCGTTATCCACTCGGCCACTGAGTCCTGATAGCCACTTGCTTGTGCGATGGAGTGAAGTTTGAATTCACTTAGTATTGTTTGTTTGGATCTTCCCATCGATGTGTTTAGGACTGCAACTGGTCAGTCTCTAATTGGCATATGTGCATACTGTGCGTATTGCCTCGATATACCTTAATTCACAAGCATGGTAAGCAGAGATGGATAGTGGCTAGCAGTGGAATCCAGGACGCGCGTTTCGTCCTATTTGGGACTCGTCAGCTGGATGTACCTGCATCTCAGAGTTGATGTTCACTCTGGGACTCGAACCCAGTACCCTCGCTTCAAACGCCATCGCGTTATCCACTCGGCCACTGAGTCCTGATAGCCACTTGCTTGTGCGATGGGGTGAAGTTTGAATTCACTTAGTATTGTTTGTTTGGATCTTCCCATCGATGTGTTTAGGACTGCAACTGGTCAGTCTCTAATTGGCATATGTGCATACTGTGCGTATTGCCTCGATATACCTTAATTCACAAGCATGGTAAGCAGAGATGGATAGTGGCTAGCAGTGGAATCCAGGACGCGCGTTTCGTCCTATTTGGGACTCGTCAGCTGGATGTACCTGCATCTCAGAGTTGATGTTCACTCTGGGACTCGAACCCAGTACCCTCGCTTCAAACGCCATCGCGTTATCCACTCGGCCACTGAGTCCTGATAGCCACTTGCTTGTGCGATGGGGTGAAGTTTGAATTCACTTAGTATTGTTTGTTTGGATCTTCCCATCGATGTGTTTAGCTGATGGGAAGATCCAAACAAACAATACTAAGTGAATTCAAACTTCACCCCATCGCACAAGCAAGTGGCTATCAGGACTCAGTGGCCGAGTGGATAACGCGATGGCGTTTGAAGCGAGGGTACTGGGTTCGAGTCCCAGAGTGAACATCAACTCTGAGATGCAGGTACATCCAGCTGACGAGTCCCAAATAGGACGAAACGCGCGTCCTGGATTCCACTGCTAGCCACTATCCATCTCTGC